AGACTTCAGCTTCAGAGGGGCAGAAGGAGGGTCAAGTCCATCTCGCAGTTATTTTCACCAACGCCAGCATCCATATCATAAAAGTGATGACACTGGCTATGCATCCAGTATTCCACATGTATTAGACACAGAATCCATAGATGGACCACGAACCCTTAGGTCATTCGTCACCCCTGAAGAGCAAGTGACCCATTCTTTGTATAGACAAATGCATCAAGGTGAGTTTTAATGTTGTAAAGAAGAAATATTTTCCTTCTCAAATGCCTTCTAAAATGCATTAACTATAGTCACGTACTAGTAATTCAAGAATCACTGCGCTAGGTGTGAAAACTAAATAACTAAATAATTAGTTCGACCAGGCGCAACTATGTGTGTGGGTGAACTTATTATATCGCAAGTGAGTTGCGCTCGGTCTCGACAAATAAATAAAATAAGTGCACTCTATAGGACGTGAAGAAGTTACTAAGTTCAGATTCTACTGTGAAAAAATTATAAATCTCGGTAGTCACTACCTCGGTAATAGTTGTGCAATACAACAATCAGTTGTGGGAAAAGGGTTTTCAATCACCAGCCGGTGTATTGATTAGGTGTTTCTGTGTACTAAGTGTACATGGTTTGTCCAAACAAAACCTCTTAATGATGTGACAATCTATTCAAAGACACCAATCCAAATATAAATGACTCGGTGTCACAGATTGGTCGTGTATAAGAAAAACAAATTCTAAAATCCCAATCTCTAAATCGTGACGAATTTTAAATATAGTACGAACACTTAAATAGAAATTAAACAGTATGAAAAATTATAAGCTCCACATTTTTCCAAGGGAAAGGATTTTACCCGTGTGGGAAATGCACACTGGTAAAAAGAAAAAAACTTCAGAATTTTGCTCCAATTCAAATGGACAATTTAAGATCAATTAATTCATCTCATGCCATAGTACTCATGTTACTTACATGATACAATGCCCTTGTGGTTTACAATATATAAGGAGAACCAACCGCGAATTAAGGGTGAGAATACGCAAACACATTAATAACATAAAAAAGGGTAAACGAGATCATAATCTATCCAGACATTTCAAGGAAAAACATAACTGTAACCCAAAAGGAATTCAGTTTATAGGCCTTGATAGGGTGTTTAAGCAATGGAGGGGAAACCATATGAAGAGGGATATCTCCAGAAATGAGACTAAGTGGATTTATTTGATGGAAACGATGACACCAAAAGGCTTGAACGTAGAACTAGACCTGAACTGTTTCCTATCAAACGATTAATCCATTAAAATATCAGACCCATCTAGGATAAATTAATAACACGAATTCTGCTGTATAATACACCACGAGCATAATATTGCTAATTTATTTACAGCATGACTGAGGTCACCAGTCCTGTCCTATGCACGCCTCCCCCTGACCACACAATATTCTCTTTTAACTAGTTTTTATCCACACGAACTCAACATCCCTTTATAAAAATAATAATTTACCGAATAAACCTAAATAACCCCAGTCATAAGAGATTAGGTATAATACATCTAAAAATACCAATTTGAATATTGATATTGGTCTAACCCCTTTTATTTTATATTTAATGGATATGTACATACATCAAATTATTGATATTGCCAGTCCATGGTATGTATGTATGTATGCATACACATGTATGTTTATGGGTATTTGAGTTTACACCCAGCCATATACCGTATATACTCGAGTATAAGCCGTCCCGAATATAAGCCGAGGTACCTAATTTTACCAAAAAAACATACCTATAGAGAAGTAAAGGGACTAGGCACCCTCTACTTCCAGGTGCTTCACTCGAGACAGTTGGTTTTAACACATCAGATAAATAGGATGATCTTCCATGCCTAAGTCAGGTCCTTTTTTATGTAGTTTTATGCAGTTTTTATTTAATATTTTAATCAGTCTTAGATCCGCAACTCTTAATATAATTCAGCTAGAACGATTAATGGGACTCTGAATCCGCCACAGAGGGAACTGTATGCAAAGAAACGTAATGATATTTAAATCCAGTAGCCGATATATGTAGTCTTTTTAAATTTTATAAACTGTTTTATGATGTTATAAATAGTTAAATGTGTTTTACTCCGACTGGATATGTGTATCCATGGAACAACTCACAGTAATAATACCTTTTGTAATTCATGATATACTAGCCTAGACTCCTGTAGCTATTAATGTGTTTTTAAATTGTTTTTATCATTTGGATCATGTTGTCTAATTACTGAAACTAACACTCTTTCCTTTGGTGATGTTAGTAGTTTAATCTCTTGATGCCACTACGGAATTGAACATAGATTTCACTGTATCGAATAGCTATGACTGTTATAGTGACATAAAGCCGTAGCCCTCACTGGGAGAGATCAATTGGTACCAGGTGGTACTAATTAAACTGATTGTTGTATTGCACAACTATTACCGAGGTAGTGACTACCGAGATTTATAATTTTTTCACAGTAGAATCTGAACTTAGTAACTTCTTCACGTCCTATAGAGTGCACTTATTTTATTTATTTGTCGAGACCGAGCGCAACTCACTTGCGATATAATATAGTCACGTACTATTAATGGGAATTTGTTTTCTGCTTCTAGTATTTTTCTTTATCATTTAACCCTTTCGCTGCCAAGCCCTCCGGAACATTTTTCAAATCAGCTGGCCAAATGGGGGAAAAATATTTTTGGAAATTTGCTATGCAAAAAGCAATTACCACTGTTCTTTACTATAAATCTGTGAGATGCAATACATGTCTAGAGTGCTGGTGACTGTTTCCATTGTCAGCTGCTCCTCTTCTTGACATAGACAATTTTCACTCGGCCTCTGACTGGTTAGTCATCAGTTATCATTTTGCCTTGTCTAGTTTTTCCTTTCCATGGTAATGTTCAGCCATCATTGTGCCTCCACTTTATTCCCCGATGGTCCATCATCATCTCCAATTTAGTAATGATGGTGAATTTGCACACTTAATCAAATAATACATATCTAGTTAAAATATTGTCTTATTATCAGGGGTCAAAATTTCAAGTCCTGAGTTACTAGCCAGGCCTTAAGAGTTACTCGCCACCAGTTGCCCACCTAACCCCTACCCTCCCGCGTCAAATTTAGTGTGATTTAGTAAGGTCAGTGAAGAGCTCTGGCCGAAATGAAGGGAGACAGACCAGCAGGAGCAGCTGCTCCCACGAGTCAGATACGCGGTCTGAGACCGCAAGCCTGACAGGAATTTCCACTCGCCTGCACTGCATTTCCACTTGCCAAATGTGAGCAGGCGAGTGGAAATTTTGAGCCCTGTTATTATTATTCAGGATTTATATAGTGCCAACAGTTTGGGCAGTGCTTCACGATATTAGGAAGACGTAATTACAATGCAAGACAATATGGTAAGGAGGGCACTGCCCGTGAGGGCTTACAATCTAAAAGGGAGGGGCAAATAATTGGGCAGTATTGCATACCAATGTGTTATGAATCTCTACGAGGATAAAAGTGTTCTGCCTTATTTAACTCATTCATGAATAGGAACACATTTAGTAGTATTTTTAAAACCCAAAAGTGTGAATGGGCCCTAGAGGTGGAGTGACATGAGAGAGATCCAGATTCTACCAGGGAAGTTGCAGTCTTCTTGATTGTATTAAATATATCAAAGTGAAACTGTCAAGCAGTTTACCAGCTAGCAGTACCTTCTCTGCTTGTTATAATCTAATGGAGTGTTTCCCAAGCACTGTCGCAGCACTGTAAAAGCTTCAGGGACCTTAAATGTAAGAAACGTAAAAGTAAATTTTTTTAAAAATGTGTGGGCACTCCAAAACCGTTACCAGACCCTTATTCTAAATGGAGAACTATTAAGGCAGGACCCGATGCAAATATTAAAAAGTGGGATTCCCCCCTATTATCAGCTCTCTGTACCCTCTCACCCTGGGAGCCCTCGTCACATCAGAGACTCCTGTTTCACATCAAACACCTGACTCTCACATCAGGAGCCACAGCTGTAGCAGTATGGCAGAGGGGGGAGGTGGAGGAGAACTTCCACCTTTTCCGACTGGATCTCACCCTACCTAGATTAGCATCATTCCTTTCCATGGTGCTGGTGGCCAGCCTGCCTGGACCACAGAAAGGCATGACGCCGTCTGCAAACTTTGATGCACCCCTCAAAAAGCCAGAATGCAACCCAGGGTGCCGTGGCACCATTGTTGAAAAAGGCTGATTTTAATTAACTGCTTTCTGTTCTCACTGTTGAGATTGTTAAGTAGCCAAACATAAGTATGTAATTTCATCATGTTACTGTTTTAGATGGGAGACTACGTCAGTGTGGACCATGTATCCGCTATCCAATGCAACACCCTCTTATGTTACAACCACAGCAGCAACCAAACTGGTGGTATATACAACAAAGGTAGCTACCATTTTATAATATTATTATTTAAGGTATAACAAATAACTGCCTAACTTACTATGTGTATACATGACAAATATGTTTAAAGCTAAACTGAAAATATCAAGCCTATATGCTGCACACAGAGACCACATACATCCCTCTGCTGCCTTGTGTGGGCTGTCGATAGAGGTAGCAGGAAACTGCAAATAATTAGAAATAAAAAATCTTAGAAATTCACAAGAAAAAAATACATTTTACAGCATAATTCGGCACAAGCAATCTAACTTTAATAGTCAAGCTACATTATTAATGTTTGAGCAGACATTTCTAAATGTATGATTTGTAAAGAAACAGAACTTGCATTGACATTTCCACCTTCTTTTCTGCCGCTGCAGAACACTGCCTGCAGCAAAAGTCTGCTTGTCACTTAGGTTTTATATATATTTGCATAAAACATTTTGATTAAAATGACTTTGATTTAAAAAAAAAATGTTCTTTTTCAGTGATCCAAATCAAGAATCTGCAAAACCTATTCAAGCCACCCCATGCCTTTTCCAGGGTCCTGATGGGCGTATCTATTGCCAAAGACCTCAATTGGGCATGCCACCTTATGGACCTCCTCCAGAAGACCCGGGAACTGGACTGAGAACAAGTAATTTACCTTCAGATCAACGTAAGTGCTTCATTATTGTATTTACTAGGGATCCACCAATACCAGTATTGGTGCCGACACTGGGCAATTTGACGAGTGCTCGTTAAAATGCCCCAATACTAAGTGCCGATACTGGCGCTATAAATTTTTTAACAGAAGTGGATGCCATGAGGTCCCATGCCTGCTGGAGACCTGCGGTGACTGTCTTTTACAGCGCTGATCCGGCCGCACATCTCCTCCTTCCTGGCGAGACGTTGCACGCAGCCCCGGCGAGACCCACGCACAGCTCCGGTGAGACCCTGCACAGCCCTGTTGAGACCCCGAACATCCTCCTGAGATCCTGCACTACCCTGGCCAGTCTGCACACGGTCGTGGTGAGACCCTGCACAGCCCTAGTCCGACCCCACGCATCCTCCTGAGACAGCGGACAGCGCTGGGCGGATTGCGCACAGCCCTGGTATAACCCTACACAGCCTCCTAAGACCCTGTTATAGCCCTGGTGAGCAACAGAGTATGTATCTTCATATTATTCTGCATATAATATATTGCTGGGATTTGTAGTCCTCTAATGATGGTGGTATTCTGCATTGCTGTTAATGTATTGCTGGCATTTGTAGTCCTCTACAGCCGGTGCCTTTCTGCATTGCTGTATAATATGTTGCTGGGATTTGAATAGCTGATGGTATTCTGCATTGCTATATAATGTATTGCTGAGATTTGTAGTGCCTCCACAGCTTGGATTCAGTGGCAGAACTACCAGGGTTGCAGCTGTGACTGGGCCCTAGTGCTCCACCACTGTCCTAAATTCATTAGTCTGCATTTTTTTGGAAAAACTGTCACATGACCTGTTAGACAGCATGCAGCCGTTGTCTCTAACATGTATCGCCAATACCGCAGCTGCAACGCACATTAGAAACAGTATCTGCAGCATGCTGTCTAACATGATATACTACAGGGATTCAAAGGTTTTATTAAGGTGTCAGATAATGCTTAGGCACTTTCTGGATACTGTGTATTACAATCACGACAACAAGAGAACCTTTACCTGGGAAACGCATATTCCAAAGTTTCCATGCAGTAAGATTGTATTTTTTTCCCACTGAAGTGCTGGCTGTTTGTTTCCAATTGTACCGCTTAATTTCTTATTTACATTATGACCTCACGTCAGCATCCAGCACACCACACATACAGGGTGACATATCCATGGCTGGTGGTTGTTATCATGTGGGCCCTTCTCCATGCTGATACTGGTCACTGTATATCTGTACTTGGCAGAAGTGGAGGTCCTAGAAAAACCGGGTCTTCCCCCAAAACATCAGCTAGGACTTGTCCGGCACAGGGCTCTTCTGCACCAATAATGTTGCATAGTTGGAACAATACCTAACTGGGAGTGTGGAATGGCTACATTATTGATCTAGAACAGGAATCATTTGTTTAGAAATAAATAACTTGTTTCAAGGCTGCATGCCTTCTTTATTCAGGAAGGGAAGTTTTTCTTACATCAGTAGTTTATTTTATTTTGCTTAATACACCCTTGCATTGCTGTATCTGTCATCAACCTAGAATAACTGTCCCATGGTTCCAGTGGTTTGTTTTTTGTGACATTAAAGTCAAAAAAAACTTTCCTGATGTTTTCATCTGTCCCTCCAGCACTGCAGCGGCTCTCCAATCCAGCGCTGACTCCTCTGTCCTTGCTGGTACTTCCTGTCCCATGGTGTCTGCATGCGGGTGCACGCGTCCATAGACTTACCTTGCCTCTCTCCTCGTCTCCCCGCCGAAAATCCGAACTGCGCATGCGCCCGCCCCAAGATGCTTTGCGGCCGCTCGAGCAGTTTCAGATTTTCTGACGGGAGCGCGCGGCAAAGACGGGTACGTTTAAACCGCTGTTAAAGCTGGGGGTTTTTTTTTTACTTTTTGCATATATCTACTGCTTACTAGCAGTAGATATATACAAAAAAACAGAGGGTTTGGAACTCTTTAAGTGCTTGTATGCTGCTCACCAACTGATTGCTATGCACCAGATATACATGCAAATGAGAGTTTGTGCTGTTCCTTCCATAATGTTGCTGATTTTGCACCTCCTTTTTGGTTTTGTGGTTTGGTTTTCTCTCTATTGATGACATCATGGTTGATCTACTATTTTACCTATCTTGCAGGTAGAGTTTTCATAACATATTCTTTGGATGCTGCAGTCCCAGTTATACAACTAGCAAATATACTCTGCGCTAATGGATTCAAGGCAACAGTAAGAACTATATCAACTGTATTGTCAAGTGACAACTATGACATATGTTTTAACTAGTATGCAACAATTTAGGCCATTATTCATGTCACACTAGTAGTAGTAGTCCAGCTAGTGGTAGTCAACAAAATATAACACAGCTGTAATTAATGGGGCAGATCAAACTATTTCTTAGATAAAAGAATAAAAATGTTCATGTTGCACTTATAAGAAACCAGAGCACACATGCTCAAACCACCAATAAACCCTCAACCACAATAGGTGCGGCTGAACAGATTACAAGGCAAATCTCTCTTGTAGCCAGCACAGAGGAGGAATTCCATTGTATCTAATCCAAGAATTAGCTTTCAGACTGAGGAATGAGCAACACTGAAACAACTCATCTCTGCAGCATGCCCCTGTGCTTGTGTTTTTTAAAGAAGATTCCCCATTTTTTTTAGGAGAACCCTTTTTAATTCTGAAGGACAAGTGTTGATACCAACCCAGTAGAGGGGCTGCATACTTGCTTTGAGGCTGCCAGCCCACTTGCCTGCAGGTTTTTCAATGACCGCTCTTCTCAAAACAGTTCCAGCACAATAGGGAGCTCCTGCCAGCAAATGTGTCCTACAGGCTTAAAAGTTGTTTGCTGGGTCATTTGACAGTGGACGTCTGTTCGCCTGCCTGCTTTCCACTTTGTAATGTACATATGAATAATACCAAAATTGGTTCAACTAACTGTTCTGCAAAATGTGATGTAGTGCTCAGTAGCATAATGGTTCAATGCGGTGGACTGTAGAGCAGCTGTATTCATATCTCTGATTTGGTCTGAAACATTGTAGGGCCAAATATGAAAGACACACGGACAGCTGTTTGCAACCAGGGCTGGAGTAGAGGAAGATTGTTCACGCCACACATTATATTCTAGGCTGTTTTCATAATTGTCTTATTGCTAAGATGCAATCAAGAACATGGAGTACCGTATATACTCGAGTATAAGCCGCCCCGAATATAAGCCGAGGTACCTAATTTTACAAAAAAAACTGGGAAAAAGTATTGACCCGAATATAAGCCGAGGGTGGGAAATGAGGCAGCTAATGGTAGATAGATACCAATAAAATTAGGTAGGGCTTTAAAGCAGAACATAACGCAGGTAATATGTTGCAGTTTTTATTGCTGGAATGTAAGTTTTTATTTATGGCCTAGTTCAGATATTTTGATTATACAAGTTATAATAGATCTATGTGTAAGATACCTTCATGCATTGACAGTTGCAAAAATTGCATCACAGTCCTTTTCATGTGTTAATTGGCATTGAAGTAAATGTCATTTGAAGTAAATGTCTTCTATCTAATGCCATTTAGTCACCACAGGTCTGAATTGGACTAGCTGGACATGATTACCTGTTTGCTGTCACATTTGGTGCCTTCAATGTTTATATTGTGACATCACCATTCTATACTGGTAAACTGACCACAAAATACTGCCTATTTTTAACATTTAGTAGATCAATTATGCAAAATTATTATAATAAAATTACAGACTTACCATAACACAGAGTCCCATAACCTCAAATGCGCTAGACATTTTTTACAACTGCTGCTTTTTTTTATTTTATTTTTTTTATTCTAGATTGACATTTTCGAGGGATCTCTCCGGGGGATGGACATCATTAGGTGGATGGAACGATATCTCAGTGATGTAAGTAAAATTAAAAAAATCATACATCCTATGTGTGCCATAATTCCATAATGACTTCAATAAGTGCAACTGATGCTTACAGTATGGCTTAAATTTGACTGCACAAATGTGTTTTTATTTTTCTGGCCTGGATAGATGGGTGTCATGATCATCATAGCGATAAGTCCACAGTACAAGAAAGATGTAGAAGAGGATTTGGGTCAGGGTAGAGATGACCATGGTCTACACACACGATACATCCACAGAATGGTGAGTACAACCTACCTCTTCTGTTACTAATAGGGGTCTATTTATAAACTATCTGCATGATCCTTCACCCTGAATTTTTGAGTGTGCGAACACTCTGTAGTTGATTCTTTACAAGGGAATGTATTTTCAATGTTTTTATGCAATATCACATTATGACCGCTAGATGGTGGTGAGGAGCATAGAAAATAAATTGCTTATTTCCTATGCTCCTTCCACTTTCTTTTCTAGGTAAGAGACTCCTCTGAGTGTCAGCTTGAGGTGGGATAGGATGGGGCTATGGTCGCGAGGGAGCTCCATCCATATGTGCATTGATTACAGCTCCCTCACATGTCCTATAGAGGTGCCTGTACCGGAGTGACTTCACATTCTGGCTGTCGGCACCTCTACAGGGCATGCAAGGGAGTTGTACAAGCAATGCACATATGGATGGAACTCCATCACAGCAGCCCACACTGGACCCCAAGCTTAGGATCCACTCCTGTTCTCGTATGGTAGGCAGACTGGGTGGACCTTTAAAAAAAAAAAAAAAAGTGTATGAGAATGTCGGTGAGATTGTGTCTCAGTGTTTTTGAGGGACCGGTCACACTAGTACAGTGCGATTTAACGCACTGTATCATGCAATCACACCTACCGTGCATTCTGGTGTGGGAGGTCTGTTGCATTACCATTAATTTGAATGATACCTCAAACGCACCTCCCACCCACAGTTCGAACGCCCGTACCGGAACAAGTGGTGCCCTAACGCTGTGCGTTCCATTGCAGTGCGATTTGGGTCTTAATGACCAAGGACTAACGTGGGTCCTGCGGTTACACAAGTTGAGAACCACTGGTCTAGTGGCCATAATGCAATATTACATGAAAACATTTAAAAAGTCATTGCACTTGTAAAGATACTAACTAAGGAACATTCATTTTGGCTTATATTCACACAGAGCTAATGTTCACAGATATTTGGAGGGCAAATGGTCCCGTGAATGGCTTTTAAATAGACCCCTTAGTGTTACTCTAATTTTGATGAGAAAAAAAAAAAACAATCCTCCCCTGACCGGTTACATGCATTTCAAGGATTTTGTTGAACCTCATTGCAGAATAGTACCAGCACCTATTTATATTTAAACTCACACTTTGATACACTCATTGATTCCTACTGTACTGAGTGGAAGTATCATTCTGCTATGTCACATAATCAGTCCCAGCGCTGTAATTGGAGAAACAAGTGTATAGAATGCCCCTATACAAAGAAGCCATGTTTGATTTTTATTTTATTTTTTGTCAGCCTTACAAAATCATAGCAGACTACTGCAGCTGGAACTAGAAATGCAATATGTTACCATTAACTTACAAAATAGTTTTGTTTTTTTTAAAGAAAAAAAATTGTGTATATGTGTAAAATACACACACACACACACACACACACACAACTGCTCGGTTTTAATACGAGTGATCTCATTAGATCACTCGTATTAAACGAGCAGTAGCTCCTACTACTCGCCCGGCGCCCGAAACTGCATGTCTCGGGCGTCGGGATTCGCTCCATAAGACGTCCTTATGGAGCGAAAAATACGGTACACACACACACACACACACACACACACACACACACACACACACGTGTGTGTGTACATTGTTTAATCATAATTGGATAACCATTTTAGAGAAACACCAATTTAACCTTAAAATGCAGTCACAAATATGTAAACTGAATGCGTATTAAAGCATAGAGCACAGTGGAACCTTCTTGGCAATACCTTTTTACTTGTTCCAGAGCTTTGACCACAGGGCATGAGCAAGCTTCTTCTCTTGTTAAATGTCATTTTGTTGCTTGTGTTTGGCTTTAAATTCATATAAAACATACACCAGATCAGCTTGTGATGTACATTTACCTTTTTTTATTCCAGATGCAGATGGAGTTCATTAAACAAGGAAGTCTGAACTTTAGATTCATCCCTGTTCTTTTTCCATTTGCAACAGAGGTACATTCTACAGGCATTTAATGCAAAAGAGCAACATTCATTGTTTATTTCAAAGTGTTCTGAAAATGTATATATTTTGTACAACTATTAACCCCTTCGTGACTGACGACGTACAGTGTACATCGCCAGCATCGGGGCTGTTTAAACAGACTCCCGGCGACTTTTGCCGCCGGGACTCTGTTTAAACTTGTAGAGCCGACTGTCGGCTTTACAACAGAAGCAAGGCCTAAAATGTGGAATATAACATGGGTGCAAAAATTGAAAAAAGGGCCTCAGTCATGAAGGGGTTAAACTAGAAGTGCATTTGTATTGTGTGTCAGCAACTACTACCTCACAAGCTAAGAGTCAGGATCTGCTGTTGTGTCCAGTTTTGTCCATTCGTACTAGTGGTGCCCAGATACATAGGATTGTAATTGAAAGATATGACAGCCGTACAATTGGTTTATAGAACAATAGATTTATAAACATGCATTATAGTGCCGGCAAGCAGATTTAGGCTGTGAAGAACAATAGTTGTCCTTAGGAAGAATCCATCTTCGTAGATTGTTTCCAAGAGATCTGTCAGCTGAGGTGCTTTTGCATTAGCTTGGTATGGTCTCTCTAAAGGTGCCCATACACTGTGCGATTATCGCGGGAAATCCTGCGATTGTACGATAATCGGAATGTGTATGAAGGCGTGCATCCGTTTTTACTGTACGGACGTCTTTTGTCTAAGGTGCATGTTAGAAAACCAGCCGAAAATCTTACGATTTTCGGCTGGTTTGTGGCATGCTCGGGAGACAAATGGCGAACGGGCCGGTGTGCGCACGCGCACACTGCCAGTTCAGCATTGCGGTCATCGGAAGCCCGCTCCTCGGGGGCGGGCTTGCGATAATCGCAAGTACGATCTGCCTGTCCAAGATGGGCAGATCGTACGTTTTTTTTAACATTTACAACCATCACAAGACTACGGTCCTGCGATGGTTGTAAAGTGTATGGGCACCTTTTTATACAACCATCATCTGCTAGATTGGGTGACCGTCATCTTATCTCTATAGGTACCATAAAGACTTTGCCCAGAGTTCTTCTTTAAGAGTTAGTCAACAGAGTAAAAGTGAAGTCTTTATATAATGCTTCTAAGCAGGAAGCACAGCATGTGTAAAGAACAAATTTGGCTGGTTGTAGATAAATACTTACAAACAACACACATGGTGGTGACTTCAGGCAGCCATACTATCTAACATTGTGCAAGCTAGTCCACTGTTGTCACTCACAGGAAGCTGGTCCAGAGCGTTGATGTGCAACCAATGCTGGGGCGAGTGCATGTATACTGGAAGTGGCTGAAAGAGGATGGAGGATATCAGCAACACTAAAGTCAGGTAAACATGCTTATATTTTCTTTGTTCAACCTGTGGGCTGAACAAAGGAAATATAACAGATTCCTCCATCCAGGCAGTGTGGATGATGAATCTCCCAGTGTGCGCTCAATATTCTGACAGCTGATTGGCTGCATGCACTGTTCGGCTGAAGATTTTCCAACATGTTCCTTCAGCAAAAGTCGATCTATTGATCAACTGCTGCCAAGGGAACAGGGTCATCAGCAGAGCGAATTTTGGCTGATTCCTGCACAATTGGTTGAAATTTGCCCTGTGCGTACCCTACTTATGATGCAAAGAAGGGATGAAAACAGTACTTTACTGAAAAGGTCTAGCTACCAGGAAAGGTGTGCACCTAGGAATGAAGGCCTTATGCCACTCAAAGTTCTACAAAGCCTCCAATCTCCAGGACCCAGAAACGTATTTAAATCTGAGACATTAGCCATAAATCCTGGAGCTCCTCGCCATGTGTATGTGAGAAACCTAGGTGAAACACACACCGTCTACAATCCTGCCAGTCCCTCACAGTATGAGGAAAAAAACCTATCATTTTAAGGTTGTCTCAACTATATTATAAGCAACTTATATAATTCTCTTTCAGGAGTTAGTCAACTCCCGCACTGATTCTCAAGTATGTTAGAAATATAACTTTCCATATGTCCCCGGGCCAACACTGCTGCTCTGTGTGTGGGCTAAATACATTTTTCTGTGCCTGATTGAAGTGGGAAGTCTGGAAAATCTTATGCTTCACATTAATGAGGATATATAAGGACATAGGCCAACCCTGTTTCTTAGACTTCCATGACTCATTGCAGGGCCATGTGTAGCCATAGCTGGGCAGTGCCTTTTTTTAAATCCGCTTTTGTTCCATTCTATCTGATTCTTAATAATTTTTATTGTGTTTTAATGTTTGTTTGCTTTTTTAATTCTTGCTTCTCCAGGAACATGTGCCTAACTGGCTAAGAAACACTCACATTTACCGTTGGCCGGAGGATATGCGGAGGCTGTTTCTTCGCTTGCTTCGGGAGGAAGAATATATTAGTGCCCCAGTTGGAGATTTACCAGTGCTGCAAGTGAGAAGTATCTGCTAGGACGCAGATTCAAGACTTGGATGTTATGACAATCATTCTATAAAACTCTGGAAAACACAGGGTTTTAGAGTGTTTGACAGCCAGTGTTCAAGAAAAGTGACACTAACACTACACCTACACGGGGCTCAAATATGAAAACAGATGAAACACCTATGTCAAGGTAGCCCCTCATTGCTTGGTCTTCATGTCCTATTAAAGGTACACTCCATTCACACATAACAGTACTTTAAAGGGACCATAAAGACACGGCCTATTGCTAAATGCTTCTATTTTTCATCATAGAATTCATCTTCTTGGCCTGGCTGATCAACTCCCCAACCCCCTTTTAGACCTTGGTATTTATTTCATGAATGGCCTTTGAAAAGTGCAGATCAGTCTGTTTCCAGCACCATCCTCTTAGTCCACTGCAGGCAAGACGCACACATTGGGGCATAAGAGGGAGACTGTACAGTGCAGAATTATGTAAAAAAAAAAAGGCTGCAGTTCTTCCCAAATAATGTATAAGACTCTTGAATCTAGCCACAAAGAACTTAAATTACATTAAACATATAATGTGTTTAATATGTTGAAGAAAAACAGAATAGACGTTCATCTTTCCTAGATGCCATCTATGATTCACTGTTACATTTTGGCATCCAGTTGAACTATGAGATGAGATTTCCACTCACCTGATAGTTCTATCCGACCTGTGACAATGAGACTGTCTCAGGTCGGCTCAGTAGATCGGGAGGTGAGCGAACAGATACCGGCGTTTGCTCACCTCTCGATCCTTTCACGGCTCTCTGCCGTGACCGGGGAGGGGCTGGATTCCCCCCTCCCCGCTCCGATCGGCCAGCGATGACTGGCAGAACGGACGGGGGAGGGGGCGGGTACAGCTGGCTCTGCCTCTAGATAGGCAGAGCCAGCTGTCACTCACGCAGCTGGGCGGATCTCGTCATCTACGTCGGGATCCGCTCCAGCTGCGGCGTCTCAGTATCCTGCGAGCTGTAGCTCGCGGTATACTGAGCTTAGGGTAACGGGAGGATGCTAGTTTGTGTCCTCCCGTTACCCTAAGGAGAACTATGGGGAAAAGCCCTAGCCCTATAGTTCTCCTTTTTTAAATCCTGTTTAGAATGAAGACACTCTTTCTGAGTGAGTAAGTGATTGTAAGACTTCCCTACTGGAGCTCCCATTCCCACCCACAACCCAAACAATTCTGCTAGGTTAAAGAAGTCTAAGCACATGCTTACTCTGCCTAATGGTAAATCCTGCCTTGAGTAGCCCCACTGCAAGGGTTAAGAAAAATGGTGCCCAGATTTCTGCTTTTAAATGATGTGTCACCAAAGGGGCTTTAGAGTGTGTGACTGGTAGGTGATAGTTTCTTTGGTGGTGTGGACTGGCATGAATGGTTTTATGTACTCTATAAATCACAGCATAATATGTCGGCACAGTATAATTATGATATTTAATGTAATTAACATTTTTCCCATTCTTATATCATGTTAAATATTATCATATTTGTAGTTGTCTACTCTTTACAGTGTTCTATACATTTTATTAAAGTTTGAAACATTTGAAAATGTAGATTTTTTTTTTTTTGTAAATTTATATTTTGATAATATATCATGTAAATGTTTTGAGTGCAGTAGATTTTCAGGAATAAAGTGTAAATAGAATTTATATACAGTATATATTTTGGAACTATTGTTTTCCCCTATGCCCCCCTTTAGCATGTGAACAATGCTACTAGGTGTGTGCACAGTGACTGCTACTGAAACAGTGCATTGCTAAATGTAAAGCCCCATTGAACACTCTTAATGTATTGCTAAATTGCAGTTACCTTGCATATACAGTTATAAATGTGCCTTCTTTTTTTTTTTTTTTTTTTTTTTTTTTTTTTTTAAATAATTGTTAAAACCCTGAGGGGAATTTATCAAAATCTGGTGCAGAAGGGCACGGCAACCAATCAGCCTCATATCTTTCATTTCCAAATCTTAACAAACAGAAGAGTGAAGCTGAGAAGAGCCTTAGGAGAAGTGGGTCACTGCTCTCTCACACAAGGAGCAGCCCAGCTCTCCTTAGTACGACATGCCCCCTGAACACTGCTCTAATATACAGCACTGATCAGGAAGACAGAGAAATGGTGAGGCCTGGTTCACACCTAGGGGATTGAGCTGTTTTTCGCACGCCTGTCACACAGGTTTTTTTTTTGGCGTGATTTTGCTTTGAAAACCGCACAATTTTCAATGCATAGGGATGTCTATGGGACCAAAAACCGCGTGACAACCAACCGAAAATAGCTCCTGCACCTTCTTGCGCGACAGGTAATTTTGCAATGCAAAGGTGTGAACAGCCTCCATTAAATTCAATGCGAATCTGTGTTTTGCTTGACATCACACGGCTAAATCTGCGCATTAAATGATGAGGTATGCACCAGCCCGTATGGGAGCAGTGTGCGTGGAAGTGTGTCATGCTGCAGGAGAGCCGGGCTTCTCCTTGTATGTAATAGTCATGGTCCAACTCTCCTAGTGTTACCAGCACAGGGTTATTTATCGCTTTGCTTAGGCGTTTAGCAAATTTAAAAAAATGGACAAAAAGAGGCATATCTAGTATAATGCATTGCAGTCATGCATTAAAACAGAACTTTGGGGGAAAATATTATTAACCTGTGCAGTGGAGCTACCCACACACTGCAAGGGTTAAGTGTTTCTCTTGGTCTAGGGCTGAAAATAACAGTTATACTCATCTGAACCGGCTGACTGTTAGACCACTCCTTCCAGCATCTCTCCCCCCCTCCGCTCCAGCAGTCTTAAGCTGGCCATACACAATTTTTCGTACATCAATCGAACCGTCGTACGATTTTCATAAGACGGCCTCATCATGCACAGACCATCGATTAGTTCAATTTGCGGTCCTGAGCAAAGTCACTTGGCCGAATTTCGTTAATTGACGGAACAGATTTTCGTTTGCGCATGAGTGGTGTTATTGGTGCGATTTTTGACGTACGAAAACGCCACCAACCTAGCGAATTTCATACGATTCGATAGAAGTTTTCTAGCCTGGGGGAAAGTTAAAAGTCGTACGATTGTACGGTATTTGCGGTTGTACACTGCCCATCAACCTTGCGAATATCGTACCCAAACAGAAAAAAATCGGACTATATTTGTAAGGTGTATGGGCACCTTTTAGGTTTTTTGAGTCATCACGTTCTATACACTTTGTATTGGACATGATGACCCCGAGAGACATACCATCACTGCAGCGTAGGAAGAGGAAAGCAATGTGCGATACCGTACAATTAGTGCAACACATAGGTGTGAATGGGTCTTAAAAGGCTTCAATTTATTTTTGGTAGAGTGGGTAGGTAGGTGTTAGAACCCCTCCTGAGGTTTTGCTTCTGTTTCCATGGGAGGAGATATCCGATTATCTGCAGTTGACTTATTTATTACATTATTATTACATTATTTATATAGCACTGACAATTTCACGCGTGGCTTTTACATAGTTGCACATTTACATCAGTCCCTGCCCTCAAGGAGCTTACAATCTCTAAGGTAACTATTTCACATGCATACATACAGGGCCAGTTTAGACAGGAGCCAATTAACCTACTGACATGTCTTTGGAGTGTGGGAGGAAACCAGAGTACCCGAAGGAAACCCACGCAAGCACAGGGAGAGCATGTATTTTAGTAAAATCAGGATTTTTTACATCAGTAGAGGGCACTAGTGGTCAACTCTTCAAAGATGCAGGATGGAAAATACGCCATGGAAAAGCCTTACTGTGATATCATTTGCATGTTTTTATTCAGCACAAAGCACTTCTTAGACAGTTGTCGCCAAAACAAGTGTACACCTTGGAATATTTCCCCTCTATTCCTGATCCAACGACAACTCACAGATTTGGATTTCCCATCACTTACTGTGCAGACAACAGCGGTCACCAGGATCTTCCTAGTGAGGACAAAGACAACAAATAAAACCTAAGAGGGGTAATAACCCTTCCACACACTATTCAAAATAGAAAATCGAATGGAGGATCTCACCTCGACTGTTCATAACTCCGAGGAGCGCTTCTGCTCAACCTGGGGTGCATGGCTCCATTTCCGTTACTCCGATACATATCTGCGGGTCATGGCGGCCTAAGTGTGTAGGCCGGGGCTGCTGTCCTGGGAAAACGGGCTACTACCTATATACTTCTCTCCTTTCCTCTTCCGCTCCTCCCCCCCCCTGCTGTTAGGGATGTAGATCCCACATACGTTTACTGTCTGATAGAACGATATAGGATAAACTCCTGCCACTCTCAAGCTGCAGGAGTCCACCCTGTAGTGCGCAAGTGGGAAAACCACCATCACACCGCAACTGTTTAGTTTACTAAGATTTTAAAGGCGGTGGAACTGTTAATATACCAAGATGTGGAAGGATGATACCAGTGATGTTTGTATTACATTGCATGTGTTACCAATTCAGTAGATATGTTGATTCACCTGTGCTTCGGATTATACCTGTTAAACAGAATGTGTATTTATGAGTAGCAAGCCCGCTGTTGGAACCCTGCGTGACTCAGGAACGTGTTATCTTTTGCATTACGTTTTGGGCGGTACGCCGCACCCTCTTTATGTATACACATTTTGAGCTGTTTATCAATAAAGAAATAAAAAAAAATAGAAAATGGCTTAAGATACGCTTAAAGTGAAACTCTTAATTGTGTTTTTAGGGTTTGGCTAGGATGGGGAAGGGTTAGATCTTCTGGTTTTTTTTTTATTGCTGCCTTTGACCCCCTTTTGGAGAGATTTCCTCCCACTTTGTGCCCGTTTAACAACATTGTTGGTGGACAAGAAATGAGGAAAGATATCCCCATAAAGCACATACAGTACACAGCAATAAAATGTTCCCCAATCAAGGTTTTCTCACTTCTCCCCTATACAAAACTATATTTAAAAATGTGCTGCATTTTGACTTTGACAAATTTGAATCATTAAGCTGGGTTATATCCAGTATATACAGGTGAAACTCGAATAATTAGAATTTTGTGCAAAGTTCATTCATTTCACTAATGCAACTTAAAAGG